GGGGACTCCCCAGTGAGATGCAGTCATGCAGGGGGGTGGGGGAGACACCCCAGCGAGCTGCAGTCATGCAGGGGGGTGGGAGACGCCCCAGCGAGCTGCAGTCCCTTTTCTGTTTCTCTGCCCGCTGGGATGGGAAGCGCCAGCATACACGTGTCTGTGTTTTTCGAGCCTCCAGGGCTGGGACTCCGACCGCGGTCGGCCATGGGGGATCGAGCCCCCTCAACACCTGACTGAGGGCGCTGTGCCTCGCGGGGTGCAGGATTGCGCCCTCCCAGCTGCTCTAAGGGCCCAGGTGAGGGGAGCGGCAGGGCTAGTCCACGGCCAGTCAGCGTGGAGTTCAGGCCCAGGGGTGAGGGGAGCGGCAGGGCTAGTCCACGGCCAGCGTGGACTTCAGGCCCAGGGAACCGGCGGACTCCCTCCCCTGGCACAGCAGGTCTCAGATTTAGTCTGCTTCAGTAGTTCCATCATCCAGTACGGTTACAGCCACTCAGCTTCCACCCTTTCCTAATCTGAACTCACACTTGGCCGTGCTTACTGGACTCGCATTCTGTCGGGTCTAAGCACACCCGTGTGAGAGCTGGGGACTCTGGATGGAATCTAGTTCGAAAAGCACAGAACTAAGGAGCTGGGTAGCCTCGTGCTTCAGGGGAGGGAGGCTAAGCCCGAGGGAGCTCCCTGGCCTCCGAAGCCTGCTTCTCGATGAAGCTATAACACACAGCTGGTCACAGGACGGTGCACGCTTCAAGTCGCGTGTCTGCAGGAGCGGGGTCAGGGTGCATCCTACCCAACATTTCTTTGATCTGTTTTTCATACATTTCTCACTAAATTGTATGAGTTTTGTTTGGTTGTAGATGTAGACACTATTCTGTTTATTTTATATTTCTAGAGTTTCCATTTTTAGATTTTCTCTTAGCTATAAAACAATAGCTGGCATGATCCCGGTACTTATCATTTCAGACAGCCTCAGTTAAGCTCATATTCTGAGAAAGTGTTAAACCCACTTAGCAGATGAGAAAATGAATCAGCAACGCCAGTGATTCACAGGAGGCCAACCCAGAAAGTGTGGCTGAGTCCAGCTGGGATTTAATCCTAACTTCTAGAACATACCTAGTACCTGCCGCCCTGTGGTCACTCGGAGCGCTGGACAGTAACAAATACCCACAGACATTGACAAGTGCGGCTCGCTGGGGAAGCCACGATGCACTCTGCATAGAAAGCCTGCCGTGGCTTCCCCGACAGCCTACCGTATTACACGCAGGTGTGTGATGTCCGTTCTAGGCCGTCACACACCCTTATAAAGACCACTCCATGAAGAATGAGGGAGCCGGATCCCACATAGCCGACCACGGTTCAAATCCTGGCCCCAGCGCAGGGTGTTTTCGCCCTCTCTCTACCTCTTCCTGGTAAGCACGCATACACACTCTGGCAATTATAAAAAAAAAAAAAAAGAATGATTAAGTATGTAAAAGATCGCTGTTAGATTAAATGGGAATAGTAAAAAGGGCTCAATGTGACTGAGTTTACCAGTTTAGCCTTATCGTAGACAGTAACTTTAAGAACAAGTTTTAAAATTTTCGGAATTCTGTTTATTCCCAGTATAGACGGAGTGAAGACAGGTAGGACAGTCACTTTAAAAGTTAGCTCTCCCCGAGTCAGATGGCCTAGCACTTGAGACTAAGCTCCCCGCAGGAGGGTCCCCCCGGGGACCACGCCTCTCCCCACACCACTCCTCGTCTTCACCCAGCTCCCCTTACTTTCTTCTCTCGTGGGGACTAGAAGCCCCAGTCACTGAAGCGTCTGTGTGTGCCCCACTACACACGCAGACACGCACATGCACACATTCACATGGAGGTACACACATGCATGCCTGCAGACACAGGTGCATGCGTGGTGGCCCCACACGCCCCCGCTGGCTCTAAGCTCCTGGCCTGCATCGCAGCCCAGACAGCACTGTCTGCTGGGCCATCTGAGCCACAGAAAGGACTTGGAAAAGTTATTCCTCGGTCTCCGTCGTTTCGTTTCGTTTTAAGACTTTCAGAAATGTAACTCAATAAAGCTGTAAGTTTTTAAAAAATTAGGCGAGTGGGCCAGCCAGTGGTGTGGTGGTTAAGGCAGCTGGATCCCACATGGCCAGCTCTACAGTTCGAGTCCCAGACCCAGTGGCTTGAAAAACACGCCAGGCATGTGTGCATGTGTGTCCAAAAGCTCAAGAGGAGAACGGAGAGCGGATCATAGTATGGCCATCCCCCGAAGGGTGCTTTCTCACCTCCCCACCCCTCTCCAGTGAGCACATAAGCCCTACAGCAAATTTTTCAAGAATAGAGACTTAGGTGGGTGATTTAGCTGAATAAGGCCCTAAAGAAAGGTGCTTTCTCGGCATCTGTGTGCGCCTCCTCCCAGCAGCCGCACCCAAGCGCCCACCCCTCCAGGGGTGACTCCCAGAACCTCCTGGAAATACTGTGCTCCTGTAATGGCGTGGCTGTTCCACATGCGCTTGTTTTGATGGCTCCGTCCTGTCCTCGTGTGTCTGTGTGGCGTGTCAGGCCGTCAGGGATTCCTGTTGAGACTATGTACTTGTACTCTGCAGAACGTAAACACCAAGCAGCTCGAGTATCAAAGTTCTGCATTGCTTTTAACTTTCCAAACGATAACCCAGCCTGCCTTGTAAGCATTCCGAATTTTTCTTGTAATTAATGTGCTGACTCTGGTCTCTCTCATCCGCCTTCAGCCGTCTCTGTTTCCCACGGACAGGTGCTGCTGTCTTGTTCCCACGTGTTCCACAGAGTAAGTGCCTGTCAGGTGCCCATGGCCGCTGCAGCTCCTACACACTTTAAGCTGTTGAAAAGAACCACCGATTTCTCCAAAGTTGCCATTTATAGACGGAAATAGGACTGTGGGCTACAAGATAATCCACCCTGATTTAAAAATCACAACTTTCCCATGACAGAAGACCCACGAATGTTTGTGTGACAGCACCGTGGTAACTGGTAACCAAGTGGGGGCCACCAGGTCCGCCCACTGCGCGGAGTCTGCTACACGGCTGGTTTCCACGAGTGTCTGGTGGCCCTGTAGGTATAGTCTTATAACAAGTCATTTCTGGAGCAGGTTTCATGAGGAAGATGTTAATATCTGATGGAACCTCATAACCTGAGTTGGGCTGAATCTCATCATTATGTGAGAAAAGAGCACTGTAATTACACTAGGAGTAAAAACTCTGTTTGTAAGTAATAGCTCGTTTTAAGTGAAGTGTTCTCCTTCAGGTATGCCTTCAGGCTTTTGAAAAGTTCACAAATAAAAAGACCTGCCCTCTCTGTAGAAGGAGCCAGTACCAAACCAGAGTGATCCACGATGGGGCCCGGCTATTCAAGACAAAGTGCGCAGAGAGGTACGAGGGGCTCCGTCCTGGCAGGACAGTGGCGGGATGGCGGGCAAGATGGCGGGGCGCAGGCGGTGCAGCTCTACCTGGGGAGCTGGCTTTTGCTCACCAGGAAGGAGAGACAGAGAGACAGTGAGAGGGGAGGTGAGAAGTCACCCCCAAGAAATGCCCATGTCACAATCCCTTCTCCTCCACTCTCCTTCTGGGATTCTGGGTACACGCACACATGCGCCTGGTGTGTTTCAAGCTGCCCGGTCCAGGACTTGAACCGCAGTTGGCCGCGTGGGGGACCAGCACTGTAACCACTACACCACCTGCTGGTCCCAGGAGAGCCAAGGTTAAAGGATGGGGACTCTGTCTCCTTGGCCAGCGATGTCCCCAGGGCCTTGCACAGCACAGGACTCTTAGACGAGACTGAAGTACCTGGCCGTGAAAGCCGCACTGGTCGGTGACTCCCGGTGTCTGTGCTGTAGAATCCAAGCCTGCTGGAGAGGACACGTCGTCAGAAGGTGGTATAGACGCCTCAGGAGAGCAGTGCCGCCCGCAGATGCCACACTGAGGAGGAGGTTCTTTGAGGAAAAGGTAGGTTTAGACCACTCGCCCTCCAGACAGACTGTGCAAGTGATTCATCTGGGGTCAGCAAAGCTAACACGGGACAACTTTGAGATTTACTTCATTTTTAGGCTTTTAAAAAATGGTTGCCTGGCGTCCAGTAGGTGGCAGTGGATTAAGGTGCTAGACTCCTACATGGCCGACTGTGGTACAGGTCCCGGACACGGCAGCTAGAAACTCATGCCGGGCGTGTGCACGCGTGCCCAAGTTCTCCGAGAGGCGAGAGGAGGAGAAGGGGCTGTGGGGTGGCCATCTTCCCACGGGGGCAATTTCTCACTCTCCTTGCTGTTCTCTCTCTCTCCCCGGCAAGCACACATGCCCTACGGTAAGAACCTCTCAAATAAGAATAAAAATGGTTGTGATGCTGCTAACAGTCTGTTCTACTTAATTGGCTTTTCCAACCTATAAACTTAGGTCTTCTTTCCCAGCTAAATAATAAATTCCATAATATTAGCACAGGTTAAATTCAGAGCAACTTTTGTCCATTTTGTACTAACTATTTAAAGAAACTAACCTCTTCAGAAGGAAAAGTAATAGAAGTAAGTTTGCGTTTGCACGTACCCCGCGCTGCAGGCACTGGAGCTGCTGCCCGGTGCCCATATTGTGGCAAGGGTAAAGCGGAGGAGTACTCTATGTAGTCTCCATAACAACCATTTTACTGAGCACGCCTGGAGTCTTGTGAATCAAAATGAGCTTCAGAAGTAAAGGATTTCTGGGGCCAGCAGGTAGCATGGTGGTTAAGGCACTAGACTCCCACATGGCTGACCACAGTTTGAGTCCCAGACCCGGCAACTTGCTTTCTCACTCCCATCCCCCGTATCTCTCTGGTGAATTAAAACTAATAAATAATCACAATTAAATAATTCTTTAAAAAAGGAAAGGACTTCTGTTTTTACTTTTTTCCCTCTGATTTGCTAGTGGGCATGTGTGATTGCCAGGGAGCGAGAGGGAGGCGAAGGGAGAAAGCGCCCCTCCATGGGTGTGCTCACGGCACAGGCCTGTCTCCACTGCCCGTCCTGTTGGGATTTGGGCATACATGCCTTCACTCCCGGCGTGTTTTTTTAAGCTGTTGAGTCCAGTATCTCCGATTTAACAAGAAACTGTATTTGCTTTGCCCTCCAGAGTGGCAGCGCCAAACACAGTGCCGACGTGTGCACAGGCAGCTTACCCTACTGCGTGTCCCAAGACGAAGTGGAACCAGCAGGTGGAGCGCGTTCGCTTCCATGGCTTACCATGGCAGCGGCACGTTCCGGCAGGCAGCGAGCGGCCTGTAGCAGGGCTGTGAGTGCATGCAGCCAGCGCAGGCGGGGTGGAGAAGCTGGAGAAGAGAAATGTCACCCTGCCCAAGTCCTCCCTAGCCCTTTGAGCATGGATTGGGGAGCAAAGCATATTTAGGGAAGGGAGACCAAGTTTGTATTTCCACACGAGGCAAAATGACTACTGAGTCTGTCATTGCATTTCATAAGGCAACATGCTCCCCATTTTTGATTACGGGGTAGTCATGGAAGAACTCCCCGTTTCTCAGTGCTGCCCAGTTCTCTTTCAAACATCCTCATTTTACAAAAGAAACAGCAGACTGCCTAAAAGTCCCAATTACCTACTGACTAGAAAGACCCACGCTGCCTGGGGAGCGGGGCTCTGGGCTGCACCCACAGCGGCCCAAGCTGCCCAGTGAGCAGGATCATGGGTCCCGTGCACCCGCTGCATTCCACCCAGCCAGGACCTGAACGACGGTCTGCCATGTGGCTTCGGTACTGCAGTGGCACCCTGCTTCCCACACCACGTCTAGACCAAGAAAGACCTTCTTATTAGAACTATGACACACACAATAAAGGGACCAATAGATGAGCACATCACATTTCAAAACTACTGGGTAGGGAGGAAAAGCAGCAGTACCCCTGACAAATGGGGACAACGTGTTGCCGTTGAGAGGGTGACAAGCACGGGACCATGACATGATGTGACCGGAGCGTGTGAGTGCTGTGAGAAAGACGGTCAGCCTCACTAAAGAGACAGAAATGAGGACCTGGTACAGCCATGGCGAGAATCAGAGAGTCTGAGGCCATCTCTAGTGCCGATGAAAGGGCCCTTCTTACCAGCCATCGCCAGGACCAAGAGCCACAGCCATCTGGCTGACAGCCCTCTAACCCCTCCACAAACTCGCCTCTGGGGTGTTGCCAGGGATGTTTGCTGAGATGTGCTGGCCGTAGTAGCAGCTGGTTCAGAGATGGCCTAAGGCGCCAGGGAGGCCCACCGGAGGGTTGGCCGGCTGGCCGGTAGTGATTATAGCCCAGCAAGGCAGAGACCGAAGTAGATGAATTTGAGTATTTCTTTCAGAGAAAATATAGTAAGTATCTTAACAGTAGTTCACTTTGCAGAGAAAGAGAGAAGGAGGAAGATAAGGGAAGGGAATGAGTTACTTTCCATTTGGACCTTTTATACTTTATGATCTTCTAGCCTTTATACACAATTAATTTTTTTCTATTTCAACAAAAGTTATTGGTAGGGAAATTTTTTCATTTTTCTGTTTCGTGTCCTTTTATGTTAAATTAAAAATATTTCTAATAGAATAGTTTCTAAATACTCATTCCAGCAAGAGCCAAGAAAATGGGGAAAAGCAACAACAAGAAAGAATAATTTAAGTGGAGGGGGACCAGCAGTTAGCATAATGGCTATGTCACTGAACTCCCATGTAGCCAACTGCGGTTCGAGTCCCAGACCCGGTGGCTTAAATTCACTCCGGGCACGTGTGCTTGCGTACCCAAGATCCCGAGAGGAGACTGGAGGAGAAGAGATTGCAGCATGGCCATCCCCCCTGGGGGGTGCATGCCCTATAGCAAAAACCTCTCCAAAAAAAAAAAAAGAAGTGGAAAAGCTAAAAT